AAATAGCTCCCAGTAAGATCCAAAAAGCCAATACCAAGAAGGCTGTGGATAATACCCTGAATTATTTCGGTAATATAATAGCAATGTATCAATATAAAGAAAAAACCTTGCTCCATGTGCCCCCTTTGTCCAGCAAGCAAAAATGCTTCTAATACTAAAGGAAAGGTATACTATTTAAAAGAATGTTATATTTGTTCTTCTGATTTTGTCATTTACTGCCTCACGTGCCTGTGTGGCCTTTTATATGTCAGTTGTACTTTTAAGATAGCACATAAACAGCTTAGTGAACACCAGAGTCTCATTGAGCAAGATGATAGATTTTAGTGTGTCCAGACACTTTATACTGAAGTAAAAAAAATCCACAGAGGGTTTAAAAGGACTGGTGAAACAGTACCTAAAATGGATTCTTTTTGGAGAATTCCAAAATTGTGACAAAAATTGAATATTCACACTCCATACGATAGCTCCCAAGAGGTTAAATAAGGAGCTAAAAATACATACTATTATATAAGTGAACTAGAACCTTTACCTTCTGATACAATAATAGGGACTGAAATAGAAATTATGCAGCTACTCCGTGTGTCTTTTTTAAAATTTTTAATATAGTGTTTTTGTGTTGGTTACTAGATTTCTTTTCAAAGTAAACACAATAGTTTTTTCTCTGTCCCGAAAGATGAATTTCAGTCAGCGTGTGTGTGTTTTAATTTACTGCCAATTTTTCGATACATTTCATATTTTTATATATTGATATAAAGTTTGTTACACAATTAATTTTACATATGATTTTTTTTTTTTTAGATGTTCATTCGGTATGCATTTATTAATGATTTTAATTCATGATTAATATAATTTATTCCATATAGAAAAATCACGCATTAATTTTATTCACGATTCAAGTAATTAATTCGGTATTTTTTAGGAACCACATAGCGGAATAGGATGCAGTGTCAATATTCTGTAAGTTTGTTTTTCTACATTGTGTCCGATTAGAGCAGATTGCAGAGAAGCTCTCCATTAGTTTGAATGTTGACTGGAACCATTCTCTCTTTCCTGCTTTCCTCCTCCCACTCTTGGTTTCCCAGTTCATACACAAACCTATAAGTTTATTCAGTATGCAATAAATAATGTTTTTAACTCATGACTAACAATTATTCCATATATAAAATTCACGCATTAAAAGTGATTGTAAACTCTCTTTTGTAATTTTTTTTTAAATAACAAACAGGGTTATACTTACCTGCTCTGTGAAATGGAAGTGCACAGAGCAACTCCTTACCTCGTCTTCCCTGGTTCCCCCACCGGTGCTAATGGCTCCTCCTCTTCTTGGTGTGCCACCATCTGTGTCCTATCATGGCATACCTACAAAGTTTGATCCTGAGCTGTGCTACCTGCATCAACAGACACAAACAGCATGTCTTGGCCTCAACCCCTGCTCCCTCGTTATAGGATTTGACTGACAGCAATGATGGGAGCCAATGGCTGCTGCTCTCAGACAGGTCTGTAAGTGGGGAGAAAGGAGAGAGCTGCTACAGATGGGCACAGCACTGAATCAAGTGTGAGCTCAGATAAGAATCATGGGATTTGAGCAGGGAGAATATTTGGGCATACTGCCACCTAAAATTGTTTTACCTTAATGCAAGGAATGTATTAAGGTAAGAAAAATGTTTAGTCTTTAGAACCACTTTAATAATGATTTTATTCATGATCCAAGGCATTCTTTCTATATTTATTAGTATTTATACAATGGAAGATTATGCTGTGTTAGCACTCTGTTTGTTTATTTACCCTGTATCCAACTGGAGCAGATTGCAAGCTTGCAAAAAATGCATAGCCCCTACTAATCTTCAAAACCTTCTACAATCGAACAATTGGGCAAATTAAACAAACCTAGTGAGGTACACATATGTGAACAGAGAGAATTTGAAACCTAAGTAAATAAGTATGGAATAAGCAGATTTCAAATTTGCATCTACTTCCCTCTACTTGGTCAAAGTACGACCACACTAGCTGTGTTTATGCCTATACTTTATGGATGGTTTCTGAAACAGAAAGGAAAGTGAAATTTAACAGTTAACTGCTTCTTCCGCAATTCTACCTTGCTCACAGGGTGCTTAGAGAAGAATTATTTAGCCCAACAGCTTAGATAGTAGTTTTGTAGAATAATGTGAACAATATTCTGTAAATTTTATTTATTCCATGTGATCTCTCATAGAATAATAATCACTGATAGTAACTGTTATAGGGTCAGAAAAGCCATTCTGTACATCAGTAAGGTTCTCACCAAAACTGCAGATAACAATAAAAATGGTGTGTAATTTCTCATAGCTCATTATAGCATAATTTAGTAACATATATCGTTTTCATAAAAAAAAAAAAAAAAAAAGAAGAATGGTACAGACTAGAATTCCACTTTAAAACTACCAAACAATGTCTAATCTAGTCCAAAAATAAGCTCAACACAATGTCTTTGAAATAAGAAAGGCAAAATGTTTGTACAGTAATTACAGGATGAAAAGCCAATTTTCCTGTTCTTGTCTGTGCATGTCACATAATATTCTACATAATTAACTATTATGGCAAACTATATTACCTGTGCATTTACTGAATTAAAATGTGAAATGAAAAGCAGGAAAAAACACACAAATGGTGAATTCTTATATTGCCTGGTGTACAGTCAGAGCTATGACATAACACTGTCCATTTAAAGTGGCTGATAAGGGGATTACTATGGATTTCCACTAAAAATAGACAGTGTACGCTTTGAAAAACACTACAGCAAAAACTCTCTAGAGTTACTCGATGTTCCATTGTGGGTTTTGTCACAGTATAGGAGAATCACAACATGATTTTATGCAATTACACGATTACCACAAACTCTTGTACATGTCATAAAAACAGTCTGAGTTTGGGGGGGGGTTCTATTTTTTTCTAAAATTAGTGACACCTTTTATAAGCCAGTCCTTTTTGCTTGTTCAGTGTGTAATAAAACATATTAAAATACAAAAAACTCCATTGCCTTTCATTGCACTGATGATGACAGGATTTGATCATGAGGACAAAAGCCATTTGCTTTGCGTACTACTTTCATTGTTGATTCCAAGCTATTCCTTGGCAGAGTGTAAAGCATATTGTATAACTAAATCTAGGAAGTGAAGCACTGTCAAAGTACAGTTACCATAAGGCAGGCCATAGATGATGAGATTTTCTTTCATGCACAGAGTTGATGGGGGAATTCCTCCTGCAGAGATACTGTGTTTTCCCAGCAAGGAGCCATCCCTGCCAGGAGAACACAATGATTACTGCTAGCAGCTATAGCCACTGGCAATAATCGCATGCAAATATCCGACATGCTGGCTGTACCCAAGTCAATCCATGGATCAGCTTAGGTACAATCAGCATGCCCATAGATAGTTTGACTTTCAGCTGTTCCCTGCTGAACTATGGCCAGCTTTATTTACTGCTACACGGAACCATTTATTGAATGATCATCATCTGCCCTTTGTGCATGTGCACTTCAAATCACAAAGGCTAACCTGGAACCACTGCCACCTCTTTCTCCCTGATAGTAGGGATTGCCATGTACAAGATAGGCTTGAAACCCAGGATGAGAAAGGAAGCATCATTTTATTGACTCTGGATCTTGAGGAGTGGAGTAAAATTTGGTCTAGAATAGTGAAATGCTCCTTTAACGTGTTACTAAACCCACAACAGTAAAATCAGTCTGTATATGCAGTAAAGCATGCTTGTTATACTCCCTGTGGAACCTAGGGGGTTAATCCTCTGCATTGTGTAAAAACATTGTTTTATCCTGACTTCTCTGATCCTCCCCTTCTTCCAGTGTCTCCCTATTATCTCCTGATAAGACATATTGTGTGGAAACACTGCACATGCTCAGTTTGCTGTGTATTGCTAGAGAAGTTTTTTTGTTTTTCCTCTGGAGGGTGCATGTGATCAGCACAGGGCCAATCAGCACTTACCAGACTGAGGTCAGGGGTTCTACATCCTCCTAGAGAAAACACCTCCTACAAGATTTAACCAGTGCTCTGTTGAACACTGATAGAAGTCACAAGACTGCTCTAACTACTGATGAGAAAAGGTAGCAGTTTATATTTACTAAAATAATTGCATTTCCAAGCTCTGTGTACTATGGGAGACCATTTAGAGTGAATGCAGGGACCTAGGTTTAGTAACACTTTAATACAGCCATTCTGGAAATAGCATACAAGGTTCTCTTTGAGTGGTATTGCGTACTAGCTCAAATAGCTTATGCTATCCCAACTTACAGTAACAGGTGCTTCAGAGTCAGCGGCCTATGTGGAGATACCCAGAGTTGACCACCTTTTGGTCCAACAATGTTTCAAACTCAAAAAGTTTCATATAAAATGTCCCAAAAGATTTATGTTGTTCTATTAAAAATGTACAGACAACTGACCATACTTCCCTATGCTAGGGGTGAGTGGGTGTAAATGAGAACAGAACCTCTATGTGTTCGTAAAAGCCCCAGATACTGCAAGCCAGCTAGTTCTTAACCAAGGCTCTCTCTTACACACTATTTAATGTGTCTGTTTTGTTGCCTCAAACTAATTAAATCGGGGCAGTTTTTATCTACAAAAAAAATAAATAAAATAAAAATTGCATTTATATTTTAAGATGCAATACAATGTCAATATAAAAATCTTATTATATATACAGTCTACAGTGGCACGCTGAAACAGAGTGTTTATACAGTAGTATTTATTGCAGTATACCTGTTGGTAGCACACAATATATTTTTAATATAAAATAGGTCACTGCATTTTGGGATCTCTCAGACTGGCCTAACACTACCAGCTTTAAACAGAACCTATACCCTAATGATTCCAACAGTCTTTAGCACGTGTCCATCCAGTTATTTTTATACATAATGGCCATTAGTTAAATTGGACACAAAATTGCATTAGAAGCTTAATTCCCAACTCAACTATTAAAAAAAAAAAAAACCCATACACACACAAACTTACTTCGGCATAGAACCTCTTGGCCACTGTCCATCTGGATTTTTCTGTTCTATTACCAGCATCTGTGTAATAGCAATGATAAAAAAGTAGATAAAACATACAATATGAAAGAACAATTAAACTAATCTCATAACATAAAGAACATCACAATATCACACGAAAAAAAAGCTACATCCATTGCTGTCTCAGGAAAAAAGCAATTTAAAAGTAGATCAATGGAATTACAAGTCTATGGAAAAAATGCTGCTGGGCTTAGAGGTTATATGAAGATGTTTTTCTATACTGAAGAAAATTCTTTGTTCTTCACAAAATACATTCAAAAGGACAGAAAAATACAATTCATTGCGTTGACTTCTCTTCAAAGATTTTTCCAGTTGCAGCTGCCATAAAATGTTTCTGAAATATTTTTCAAATAAACATCACATAGATCTGCTAGGCTGCACATTTTTTAGGTTTTTGCCATATACTTAGCAATATTTGCATATCTTATTTGCAAATAAGCTAGGATTCCTATCTGTCATGTTTCTGCCTAGTGTGCGATTGAAAGTGGTTGTAAACTGAATTTTGTTTTTAGATAGAATAGAATTGCACAGAGCAGCCCCTAACCTTCTCTCGTGTCCTCTGCCGGTGCTCCTGGCTCCTCCTCTCTGTCCATTTTCCTATGGGGGCACATGTGCAAGCTCACCCCCCAAGCCCTGCTGTCTACGTCCAATGACCTCTGCCCGCCCCCTCATCACTGGCTTTGGCTGACAATGGCTCCCGATGCCCCAGCAAAGCTTGCGAGACCCGGAATTGATGGGAGAGAGGATCTACAGGCATGCACAGAGCTGGATCAAATGAGAGCTCAGGTAAGTAAAAGGGGGGGGGGGGGGGGGTGAGGGTGAATACTGATGCCTAAACATTTTTTACTCTTTTAGTTTTGGATAGAGCACAGATGAATTAAAACCCGGCAGGTTTTTTTGCTGTTTGTGTCCCCACCAAGTAGATTCACCCTCTCTATTTGACTTAGTGACTATTGTCACCAAGACAGAAAAATCAAAATTTAGAGTTTTTGTAACGTACAGGTGACATGATGTAACGTGCATTTGACATAAATATAGATTTGCGTAGATAACATGTGATCAGTAGCAATATGCAATCGTAACTGTAGGGACATTCCATTGTCATTAGGGATGGATATTCTGTAGGGACATTCCATTGTCATGAAGGATGTATATTCTGTAGGGACATTCCATTGTCATTAAGGATGTATTCAGTCCTTGTCATCAGGGAAATGAGGTACTCAGACAGTGGTCATCAATTGGCATCAATTAGGCTGAAAAGCCTGGCTTCGGGGATGTGACACCTTTGTGTTAATAAGGTTGTCACCTTCTGGTGAAACCAGTTTAAAGGAAGTGGCTCCAGACATTCCGGCTTCATGACAGCAGGGAGATAAAGGTATATCCATCCATCAAAAGGGGTATGTTTAATCTCTCATAAAAGCTAAAATATTAGTTGCAGAGAGATGAACATGCTCCCTTCTATTTGGGCACTCTGTAGGCTACATCTGCATATAAAAACCATATTTGTGGCTTAGTTACAACGCCAGGAAAATGCAGGGAATGGTTAGGTGGCGCTGGATTGCAACAGTCAAATGGTGTTTGGTACTGTCGCGATCGGACTGATGCGCTGGTGTCAGAAATCCAATCCCTGACTTGGTGTTTCAAGCCGGTCTTAGTCCGATTGAACTTGGGCAGTTTAGCATCCAGAACATCCTGTGGGCAGGTACAGAAGCAGCCCCCCATGGTCAATATCCCCATAAAAGGAGTACCCGGGCATTGGGACATTTGTGATTCGTATGGAGCCAGTTCGATTTGACTGACGGGTTGCTGACGCTCTGACATGCTCCAGTCGCAGGATAGATCTTGGTAAAAGTTTTATTCTGTTTTATTCCCATTTTATTTTATAGTGAATAGTCATTTGTGTGCCTTCTTGTATTTTTTGTATTTCTGTAACTTTTTATATTTTGTACATATTTTATGCACTGCCCACTTTCAGGAAATTAAAGCTTAAAATTAATTAGTAACTTCTGTGTATTTAAGCATGTGCTCATATCTTCGGAGAGATTAGATTGGATTCGATTGGAGAGATTAGATTGGATTAGATTAAATTGTATTGTATTTTAGTGCCTTTAAACGCTCGGTCAAGCTCATTGCCAATCTGTATGCAATTGCACTGTGTGTGGCAGATTGCGTGCAGATTTTAAAAGGTAATAGATTGGCCAGACGGAGATCTGTGTGTGTGGGGTGTCCCAGCAGACCGTTCTGCGGATAAACTGTTGGGTGGTGGCAGGCTACCTTTTGTGGTGTGTCTGGTGCAGGGGGTGTGTGGACAGTGGAAGGGAAATTAACACCGGGGTTCAAGCTGTAGGTAGCTGGAGGGACCTTAGAAGGGTGTGTAATTACTACTAAGCTGGTCCTCAACTCTAATCAGTGCATCAGATTGTATATAAGATTTGTATCTGCCAGTGTGTGGTCGACCAGCTGGATTGGAGTAGAGTCTCCATCTGGTGGTGGCCAAAGGTAGTGCGGGCTGTGAAAGGGTATCACGGCTGATCTTATATAAGGTTATATAAGGTTTTATATATTCAAAGTTAAGTCCCCTTTATTCCTTCTTACCCCAAGTCACGGCCGCATGTGTGCGCCTCGGTTAGCTAGTCGCTGTGGGCGTGGCGTGTGGGGGATTCGTGACAGTTTTCAACAGAACAAGAGGTATGGGGAAATCTTCCAATGGGGGCGCCTGTTTCAGTGATACTCTTTAAGAGGAATCTCTCACTTATAAAGTTTTAGAAATTTTCACTCGCTTTCTACTGCGTATCCAGGATAGAAATCAGCCTAAAAGGACAGACAGCTTAAAAACAAAACTAAACAAAAAAACAGAGAGGGGTTTTAAAGTGTTAGTAAACGCAGGACCCTGCATTCACTATATTTGGTCTCCTACGGTACACAGAACATGGGAATGCAATTATTTTAGTAAATATAAACTGCTAAATACCTTTTCTCATCAGCAGTTTAGAGCAGTCTTGTGACTACTCTATCAGGGTCCAGCATAGCACTAGTTAAAGCTTGAAGGAGGAGTTTCATTATCCGATTGTCCAATGAGGCTACAGAACCCCTGACCCTTTATCTGGACAGCACTGATTGGCCCTGTACTGATCACATGCACTCTCCCAAGAAAAAAAAAAAAAACAACAAAACAACCTCTCTAGCAATACACACCAAACTGAGCATGTGAAGCTTGCCCCCAAGGCTCTGTTTTGTCTGCAGATGGATGGGGGACAGTAGAAGAAGAGGAGAATCAGAGAAGACAGAATCAAACATCGTTTTTACACAATGCAGAGGATTAACCCCTTAGGTTCCACAGTGAGTATAACAAGCATGCTTTACTGCATTTGCAGACTGAATTTACTGTTGTGGGTTTAGTAACACTTTAAAGCTGGCCATACATGGGTCGAATTCCTAAAGAATTTTCTTTCGAAAATCTTTTTTCTACGATTTTTTGTTCAAATTTCGCACCATTAGTTGCCCACAACGGCCGATATTCGAGCGACCATCGAATTTGAGTGATCGGGCACTTTAGAAATTTTTTGAAAAACAAAACAAATCTCTAATCAATGCTGGGAGAATCGTACAAGAAATGTAATTGAAAAAGAAATGAGCATGAGCTGTGACCTGGAAAGAAAAGAAAATTCATCGCCACGAAAATTCTTTTCTGTAGCAACATGAGGTGAAATTTAAGGCTTGGTTGATCGAATTCAAAACCAATGGTGGCAACATCAGATTACAAAATGCACAAAATGTATGATTTTCTAAAGAAAATTCGTTCAGAATTCGAGCCATGTATGGCCTGCATAAGTCTTCCCTACTCCCCCCGAAATGGAAAAGAAAGAAAACAAAAGTTTTTGTCTATTATATATATATATATATATATATATATATATATATATATATATATATATATATATATATATATATATATATATATATATATATACACACACACGTTTTAAAAATCAGAAACCATACAAACTATTTAAAACAAGCAAAACGCACCACCATCTTTTTTTTTTTTGTACAACTGAGCACTTTGAAATATACACTATATTGCCAAAAGTATTGGGAAACCTCCAAATCATTGGATTTAGGTGTTCCAAACACCTCAACGGACACAGGTGTATAAAATCAAGCACCTAGGTATGCAGACTGTTTCTACAAACATTTGTAAAAGAATGGGTCGCTCTCAGGAGCTCAGTGAATTCAAGTGTGGCACCGTGATAGGTTGTCACCTGTACAGTAAGTCCATCTGTGAAATTTCCTTGCTACTAAATATTCCACAGTCAACTGTTAGTGGCATTATAACAAAGTGGAAGCAACTGGGAACAACAACAACTCAGCCACGAAGTGGTAGGCCACGTAAAATGACGTAAAATGAGCAGGGTCAGAACATGCTGAAGTGCACAGTTCGCAGCAATCGCTAACTGTCTGCAGGCAATAGCTAAAGACCTCTAAACGTCATGTGGCCTTCAGATTAGCACAACAACAGTGCGTAGAGAGCTTCATGGAATGGGTTTCCATGGCCGAGCAGCTGCATGCAAGCTTTATATCACCAAGTGCAATGCAAAGCGTCGGATGGAGTGGTGTAAAGCATGCCGCCACTGGACTCTAGAACAGTGGAGACGTGTTCTCTGGAGTGATGAATCATGATTCTCTGTCTGGCAATCTGATGGACATGTCTGGGTTTCTCGGTTGCCAGGAGAACGGTACTTGCCTGACTGCATTGTTCCAAGTGTAAAGTTTGGTAGAGGGGGGATTATGGTGTGGGGTTGTTTTTCAGGGGTTGGGCTTGGCCCCTTAGTTCCAGTGAAGGGAACTCTTAAGGCGTTAGCATACGAAGGCATTTTGGACTATTTCATGCTCCCAACTTTGTGGGAACAGTTTGGGGATGGCCCCTTCCTGTTCCAACATGACTGCACACCAGAGCACAAAGCAAGGTCCATTAAGACATGGATGAGTGAGTTTGGGGTGGAGAAACTTGACTGGTCTGCACAGAGTCCTGACCTCAACCAGATAGAACACCTTTGGGATGAACTAGAGTGGAGACTGCGAGCAAGGCCTTCTTGTCTGACATTATGCGCACAAATGTGCTTCTGGAAGAATGGTCAAACATTCCCATAGACACACTCCTAAACCTTGTGGACAGCCTTCCCAGAAGAGTTGAAGCTGTTATACCTGCAAAGGGCGGGCCAACTCATTATTGAACCCTACGGACTAAAACTGGGATGCCATTAAAATTCATGTGAGTGTAATACTTTTGGCAATATAGTGTAGGTCTATACAGTTTTTTTTTTTTTTAAATATTGATAATTGTGCCAAATAATTTGTGTAATTTAAACGTTTTATATATTTCTTAATGAATATCTCCCAGAACTATGAAGAAAATATTTGGAGCTCATGGTTGACACAGGTCTTATTTTAGCACCATGCCTTAGCCACCAAAAATCATATCAAATGCACTGTGTTATACCTGTCCTTGATACAAGCCAGCATCCTGTATAGTGCTTTCAGGTTTATTTAGAGGTTCAAATGTATTGCTCATGTATTTGTTCCACAGTCTGGTCTCTTTGTCATCTGGAATACTGAATATTCTTCTCATCTCCTTTTCAATCATGTCTAAAAATAAAAAAAAACAAAAACAAATAGAAAAAAACCTGACATTTAATACACCACAAAAATCCTGGGTAAGTTCATGCATTATGAACTTTTTTTGGAAAAAAAATATGTTTGTTGAATTAAAGATAAAACTCACAATTAGCATGAAATCATAGTAAAGTATTGTATGTCCCTTTTTTGTTGCTTACTTACAGTTAGTGCAGAAAGACAGATCAAACACTCTGCAATAATTGTAAAAGATAGGATCATTTTATCTATTGCTAGTAGGCACATTAATTTGCGACAGATCACTATCGTTAATGATGTTCCTACAAAAATGTCACATTCAGTGATATGACATTTTCCATTGTTTCTCATCTTGGATTGCCCACTCTTTGCCTAGTTTTTATCCAGAAAAAAAAAAACTGACTGACCTGCAAAAACTTACCTATTGTGTCTGCCTTACTAAATCGCCTCGTTACCACATTGTTCATATTGCCATTCTCGCACAATTTAAGTTCAGTTAAGTAAACTTCTACTTTGCAGTGCTTCACAAACATACCCTGTTCAACTACCTGCAAAAAAAAAAAAAGAAAAAAAAAAAAAAGAATAGACATCAGTAACAAGAATAAGGCCTGTATACAGGAACCTTTAGATCTGTAAATCTATTCAAAATGGGGGCTTAGCAGTTTGCATCGCAGTGCTGGGATGAAAGATCAGTTCTCGCCAGAGGGGTTATCATAGAGTCTATTTTTTCCTTTTGTGCCCAGTCTCCCTCCATAATCAAAAACATACTAGCATGTTAAGTGGTCCTAGAGGGCTAGTATGACTGTTGTGGAAATGCTAATCTGTTACTGCCTTCAAGGGTAGCAATTGATGGGCATGGTTTTATGTTCTGTGTGAAAGAGCTTTGGAAATTGTTAGTATTATATAAATGAAGATAATAAATTAAATTTAAAGCTGAAAAAAAAAGGACACTATTGGTAAACTCAGAAATACATGAATCAGGTGCTAAGTGAGCATCCATAGTACCTCTAGTGTTGTAAGTCATGAAAGTAGCCCTGCAACAGTGCAGGACCCCTGGACTGTTTTTTACACAGCCAAAGGGCTGTGTTCATATCACCAGGATGCTAAAAATGACTGTTCCACACTACAGACGGGAAGAGAAGAATTGGGATGCAGACTGTCACATGTTTAATGTATGCATTTGGGGTTTTTAAAATCATTTTGTGAAATGAAAAATGATGACAGCCTGGAAGTGGGTGGAATGCAACAAACCAATTTTTTTCCAATCATATTCATAATTGAAAACAGTGAAATTCAGTGTACAAAACAAAATAAGTGAAAGCCCCATTAAATAAGCAGATCTTGTAATCCAATCTCTTAAAAAATCTTGTGACGATAATATGGTGCTAGAACAGCAAACAGAGGTGCACTCCACCAACATCCCACCAGTGCTTAGAAGCTCCCTACTGCAAATACCTCAAAATAATATCAACTGTGCTTGGCTATCACGCAGCTATAACAAACTGCAGTATCCTGGTTATGAAGCGCTCCTAATTGGACCTCACAACAAACATAAAAGGAACAATAGAACAAATCCTATAGTGTGGTATATTAAACCAAAGTTTCAATTTATTGTAAAAAGCCACTCTCATAAAGAGATGACAGATCAGCACAAAACAAGAAACAAAAACAAAGCACAGCCGCAACTCACACTGGTGTGCGTGATGACGTCATGTACCAGGTCTCAACCAACACATATCTTCTACACAGATGTCAGAGAAAGGATCCTCAGTTTTCACTTATGAATATGAGTTTTATGTTATGATATGGTTATTCCTGCTTGGCACGATACACTTTTAAATTTAAAGGCAGAGTGTACATTTCTGTATTTGTACATTTTATATCTTGTATTTGGATGAGTGCTGATGCCTTAATATTGCTTTGGTACACTAAACACAGGGATCTTCTTTTTTTCTTTTTTTTTTTAATCTATGCCTGGAGTTTACCTTTAAAATTAGAAATTGGGAATATAGGTTTTTTTTTTATTATTGACTATAAGTACATATTCAAATACATGTTTTAACTACATCCCTTCTGGAACATTTTTTTCATTCATTTCCTATATGTAAGTTAAAATTAGCATTTCTGGCTATAAAATTATTTAAAGTGGTTGTAAACCCTTACATATACCCAGTGAAGTGACTGGCCTCAGGTTATACACAGAGATGAAACTAATCATCCTACATAAGTTACACCTGTTTATGTACAGCCATCTGTCCTCTACATCCATTCAAAGTGTAACATTTACACAGGATCTCTCAGCTCTGAGAAGCAGAAGGATAGAAGATGTTACATCAGTGAGGAGAGCTCTGAGATTTGATTGGAAGGAAAGGACACACCATCATTCACACAGCACAAAGCAACAAAGTTGAGGCTGTCAATCTGCTGGAAGTCCCTCCCGTCACCATTTTCTCTTGATATGAGGAAAACTGGTCAGAAATGACTCATGCTGACAGCAGAGGAACGAGGCAGCAGAGAGAAAATACACTTCATGCTCCAGATTGAGAGAAGTACACAGAGGGATAGGCTTTGTTTATATTTCATGTTTGAGGTTTACAACCACTTTAAAATGTTTCTTTTCCGAAAGCTGAGGCCAAGTAGAATAAAAAGATAGTAGCTGCAATTTTTTTATGTCTCACAATATCTGCACAACTGTTTTGAATTTTCAAGCAAAAAACACACTAAAATAAATATTAATGCAAAGAGCTGAAGAAGTATAAGTAAAATTATAAAACCTGCAGTGGCAAGTAGCTGATGGTATATGCTGTCACAAGATACCTCTTGCTGTGAATTTTAAAAGTGCCACTTAAAGTCCTTTGCCAAAAGAGTTTAGACATGGCTTCTGCCTTTTCCCCAAAGTACAATGGTTGATGCCAGAGCAACCTATAAGCCGGCCTGGGCAATACCACTTGGGGTCGTGCTAATACATATCTGTACAGCTAGTTTAGTAGATCTCCAGGCAACACTAATGCTGCCTGCTACTTTATTTTCCATTTCAGTTTTCCACCTAGTTCACTTTAGTATTGTAACTGTATGAAAATAAATGTATACACAGCTGTGGACAAATTTGTTGGTACAATTAAACTCACTGAAAAAATGCTTCATTCCTCTTAAAAAAAATGATGAAATTTAAAGCAATGGTCTCATGTATACCTGCATGCTATTGGTATGTCATAGAGTAAAGCACAGAAAGTGTGAACAAATTATTGCTTGTTCTACAAATATATTCTACAATAGTGAGGTTTAAGGTCCATGGGAGTATAGCCAACCTAGCCCGGAAGAAGAAAATCAACTCCAGATTGAACAGAAATACAGCGTGAATGGTATGCATAAAAAACCAGACTGGAATTTGTTAAAATACATACTGACAAGACACTTCTGGGAGTACGTGCGTTCGACAGATGAGACCATACTAGAGGTTTTTGGCTGGTCACATCAGCTACAGGTTCACAGAGGAAAAAATTAAGCTTTAATAAAAAAAAGAACACTGTACTTACTTTACTGCATCTGGCATGTGCTGCCCTGGATTTGTGCAGGGCACATAGAATTCTGGAAAGAAACGTACTGCCCAGTGTAAGAAAGATCCATCTCACTCAGGGGTCTTGGGTCTACCAAAAGAACAATGACCCAAAAACAACCAGCTAAAAGTACCCAAGAATTTAACTATTCTGAATTAGTGTTCAATGAGCCCTGATCTGAATCTGATTGAGCAATCTATGGAAAGAGCGTTAATGAGCAGCCTGGATAAGACCCTATTCAAACCTGAGACAGCAGAGGCACTTGGCTCAAGAAGAGTAGGCCAAACTTCCTATATGCAGGAGCAGAAGTCTCATTGAGAGCTTCAGTAATTGCTTGTTTGCAGGGACTGCCTCTAAAGAATCCCATCATATATTTGTCAATGCCATTTGTTTTATTATCCAAAATATTCTGCTGAATCAAAAATCAAAAGAATGGTCTTATTTTTATCAGACTTTAATGAATGCAAATCACGTTTGTGAGTTTCAAGTTAGTTTTGAAAAAAGCGTGGGTTCTTTTATTTTTTGGAAAAGGGTACCAACAAATTTGTCCACAGGTGAAATATTATATATATGGGCTTTGTTCACACAAGTGCACTAAAACATATGCCCATGCAAGGGCTGCGTTTACCCGCACAGGGATGCAGAGGTATTCTGTGCATCCCCGTGCAGGTAGTCTCGTTCATGTAAATTGGGTCAAAGAGGCCACACGGACACAGCTGCTGCTTCCAATTTGACATCCATGGTCCAGGTGCACATTCCAAATGCAGACCAAAATATATATATCACACCCCTACTTTTTTTATTTCTTTTTCCTGAAAAAAGATATATATATATATATATATATATATATATATATATATATATATATATATATATATATATATATATATACATACATACATACATATATACATACATACATACACACACAACAGGGGTTTGAAAACTAATTGTGCACAAAAATGAAAATCTTAATAGTGGAAACTAGCATCTGATAAATAATTTTTATGGTGACATTTAGCAGACAAAAGCAAGCTTTTTATCTAGCATACACCTTTGCATTTGCTTTTATAAATGTAACCAAAAAGCCACATAATGAAACAATGTACAAAGAACATAAAGTACCTTGCGAGCTATGGGTTCTTGATTTTCCATCAGCGTATACCAGCTAACAAGCTTGTTCCACCCTTCGGTAGGCAACAGAATGTAATCAAGCTCATCAATAAGATGCTCCTTAAGAGACTGTGTGTCAGTATCTGCGAAAAAGACTGTCAGCATTTAAAAATTGAGACTAACAACTGGAATCTTTAAAAGCAAAGACATTACATAGAATGTGAGTACATAGAATAACAGCTGCTAAGAACTTCTGTATAGGTTCTCAACCAGTGGTATGTGAAATAACAGTGCCTGTCCCAGGTTGAGTGGCTACTCATGGCAAAATACTTTAAAAAAAGAGGCCCAGTTCACCTTGTCATCACATGGTCACTTTAAATCCAAGAATGCCTTATTAAAGAAGAGCATCTATACGTACCCTTCCGGTGACTCATGTCTTCAGACTCTGCCACCTTGTTGCTCCCTGGCTGCTGCAGGTATTCCACAAATAATAAATGAACAAATTAATTTATAGATTATTATAGAACTATTTTCCCTATGGCTTTGTAGCCCAGTTCGTAACACAATGGTATGAATGGGTCCTAACAGATCCAAGTTATAGAAAATAATACATTATATAAAAATCAAGTGAGTAGTTAATGGAATTCTTTAGAAAACATTTCATGCGTGTATAACAAATAAAGCTTATCCCCAGTTATCATTCATCACAACCTCCCTTAAAGTGCTTTTTTTCCCCCTGATTTTGTCCATAGACACAGATTTTCACAAGTGTATTTTTTGGGTACAAAGATTGTAGCCATGTACCCAACAACTAGGCTTAAGTTTTAGGCCCCTCCCGCTGTAATTTTGCCACTCCAACAATTTGTCTCATTATTTCCCTCAGGGCGACAAAGGCAGAACACACTAGGAAAGAAAAAAATATATATATCTACACCCTTGGTATATTTACAAACTATACACAAAAACAGGCTTTACAAAACAAACATTTAATGCAAGAGTTAGGCCCCTTTCACGCAAAGGGTCCAATGAGGTCTGTTAGTTTTTCAGGCAGACTTGATGGGACAGTCCATACATTCACCCCCATGGACCCATGGGTAAAAATGGATTTGTGCTGGTTTACACCTGCCTACCTCTGATCTGTTTTCTCCCCAAAAAAACAGAAGGGGACCCGTCGTCCATTGTCTAGGCCAGTCGGATCGGAGGGCAGTCAGGTGTAAATGGACTGTTTACAACCGGCCGCCCACAGAGCAGAGCGGGCTCTATCCGTGGCTGCACTGCATAAACTGAGTGAGCATGGACCTGTCATCCGCCAGCTCTGCTCAGATCAGGAGGGGATCAGTGGACAGAGTCCTCCCCTCTGAAAGGGGCCTTACAGGAAGTTAATCACAATCATGTAAACATTTAGACAAACTGATAAGATTGAAGTTTTCCTTAAAAAACAAATAAACAAGAAAAAAAAACCATGAAATAGTGTGTTGTACTAGTGCATGGCACCACTGCCTGCTGGGGATAATTCTGACAGATGCCTGCAAAGTAAAAATGAAGTATAAACTTAGCCTGAGATCACTTTCCACTAAAACAGTGTTTGCCACATTCCATAAACACAGGTACACTACAGGTTCAAATATTAGCAACACTTTAAAATGGGTGACCGCCTCCTTATCTGATATTGATTTTGAGCTGTATTAACATATAGGGATGCAATACCACCCATTAGATGGTTAACTACAGTGCTTTGCTTAAATATGAGCCCCTGGATTATTGTGGTGTGACAGCTAAATGCTAAAATCGATTTTGCCCTGATCTCAGTATTGAAGATAAGATATACATAGTTTATTGTATAAGTATTTTTACAATAATAAGTTTGAAAATCTTGATTGCGTAAGTTCTCACTTTCTTTTCTATAAAACCCCCAAAAAAGCTCCAGTGAACCTGTTGTAGAAAACCCATAATTAGTTGAATGGAGTTCTGCAGCACATACTTGCCTTTCCTTTGCTCCTCTACTGCTTCCTTCAGCCACTAGGGGCGCAAAAATACCCAGCACTTCAAGATTTGGAGAAGCATTTGACTCACTTCTATCAATAAGTGATTGGTCCAGCTCTGTCATGTGGGGGCAGGGAGACAGTCCTCAGACTTGCGCAAACTCGGGCAGAGCGTCTTTTAATCGCTCTTTGTAGCTGAATGGGTTGGTAAGGGACCAATAAAAGGGCAAGTATGCTGCTGGGGAGAGCATCATTACAGCAAACCTGTTGCTTTGCTGTACATGGGAAAGTACAGGTTTGTATTAAATCTTTATTTTCCAAATGACAGGCATGCAAAAAGAATGTAACTACCTTTACACGGTACAATGTTTTCACCACAAACTCAAAAATATTAGAGAATGACCTTTGAGGAGTCCAGAGTTATCAATGGGACCTGGATACACATTCTGATCTCCCATCTGATACTTGTCCCAGCTGTCAAAACCCACATATTTCTTCCACTGTTTGAACCAGCGACTGTCAATCAAGTACCTGAATAGAGACAAACAAAATTACATTAAGCATAGTCAGCATACTGGATCCTAAGAACAATATGAGAATATGTATAGTATATCTAGAACCATGTGGAAAAGAGGAAAGTGAAGGGAAATCCTGGAACTGCTATCCCTCCTGTTCTGGTGACAGCTTTTAAATTTGGATTTCCCATCACTATGTCCCAGTGACTACTAGTTCTGGCTTTAGATATACATTAAAGTGTTACTAAACCCAGGACACTGCATTCACTATATCTAGTCTCCTATGGTACACACAACATGGAAGTGCAATTATTTGAGTATATAAACTGCTAAATACCTTTTCACATCAGCAGTTAGAGCAGGCTTGTGACTTCTATCAGTGTCCAGCCAGGTACTGACTAAAGCTTATAGGAGGAGTTTCCATTTTGCTCTAGGAGGATGCAGAACCCCTGACCTCTGTCTGGACAGTGCTGATTGGTCTTGTGCTGATCACATGCACTCACCCAAGAAAAAAAAAAAAAAACACCTCTCTAGCAATACACACCAAGCAGAGCATGTGCATTGTGACTCCAAACATAGGTCTTATCAGGAGATTAGAGGGGGACACTGGAAGAAGGGGAGGATCAGAGAAGTCAGGATCATACAGCGTTTTTACACAATGCAGAAGAGTAACCCATTAGGTTCCACAGTGAGTATAACAAGCATGCTTTACTGCATATACAGACTGATTTTACTGTTATAGCTTTAGTAACAATTTAAATACTGTATTACAAAGTATACTATATAAAACCCCTTAGTCTAATAGTCATGTTTTTTTTTTCTGGAGGCAGTCTCTATAATTTCATATAATAAGAGGAAAGCATTGTCTTTTTAATAAACACACCAAGGTAAAATGACCTCCCTAAGGAAGAACATGCCAATTACAAACACTTCCCAGTGGGCACCTATGCCTTTACCTAGAAAGTTCATGTTCCTCTAAAAAACACATGTCACAAGAGGATTTACAAGCAAAGGGATCCCTGTTTGAACTGGTTTCAAATAAATACACTGCGTGATAAGGAAGAATGTTATAAAAGAAGATTGGTATCTTCTTCACAAAGCACCCTTTGAAAAACAAAAAGGGACCCAAACAGTACCATTGCTCTTTTCTATTATCTAAACTTTTCAGTAACAGGGCCAACACTGTGTATATGCTACAAATATTCATGGGCTGATAAAAAATATTCAGATTTATAAATGAATGAATCAAATTGAAATTAAGTTTTTCTATTTTTTTCCTGTAATCAGCAAATGTTGATTTAGAACAGAAGTCTCCAAACTTTTCAAACACAAGGGCCAGTTTACTGACCTTCAGACTTTGGGGGGGGGGGGGGGGGCAGATTGTGGCCAGTGGGCGAGAAAATGTCCTGAGCTCAGTATCAGTGAGAAAAAAACATGACCTCAGGGTTGGTGCTCAATGGGAGGAGGAGTAGTAGTGCCCCATTATTGGGAGCAATAGTGCCCCATCATTGGTATCAGTGGAAGAAACAGTGCCACATTGTTGGTGCCAGTGAGAGGAATAGTGCCCTATAATTGATACTAGTAGGAGGAATAGTGCCCCATCATTGGTAATAGTGGAAGAAACAGTGCCACATTGTTAGTGTCAAGTGAGAGAAATAGCACCCTATCATTGATACTAGTAGGAGGAATAGTGCCCCATCATTGGTATCAGTGGAAGAAACAGTGCCACATTGTTGGTGTCAGTGAGAGGAATAGCACCCTATCATTGATACTAGTAAGAGGAATAGTGCCCCATCATTGGTATCAGTGGAAAAAACAGTGCCACATTGTTGGTGTCAGAGAGAGGAATAGCACCCTATCATTGATACTAGTAGGAGGAATAGTGCCCCATCATTGGTATCAGTGGAAGAAACAGTGCCACATTGTTGGTGTCAGTGGGAGGAATACCACCCTATCATTGATACTAGTAGGAGGAATAGTGCCCCATCATTGGTATCAGTGGAAGAAACAGTGCCACATTGTTGGTGTCAGTGAGAGGAATAGCGCCCTATCATTGATACTAGTAGAAGGAATAGTGCCCCATCGTTGGTATCAGTGGAAGAAACAGTGCCACATTGTTGGTGTCAGAGAGAGGAATAGCACCCTACCATTGATACTAGTAGGAGGAATAGTGCCCCATCATCGGTATCAGTGGCAGAACAGTGCCACATTGTTGGGGTCAGTGGGAAGAATAGCGCCCTATCATTGATACTAGTAGAAGGAATAGTGCCCCATCGTTGGTACCAGTGGAAGAAACAGTGCCACATTGTTGGTGTCAGAGAGAGGAATAGCACCCACCATTGATACTAGTAGGAGGAATAGTGCCCCATCATCGGTATCAGTGGAAGAAACAGTGCCACACTGTAGGTGTCAGTGAGAGGAATAGCGCCCTACCATTGATACTAGTAGGAGGAATAGTGCCCCATCATCGGTATCAGTGGAAGAAACAGTGCCACATTGTTGGTGTCACTGAGAGGAATAGTGCCCTATCATTGATACTAGTAGGAGGAATAGTGCCCCATCATTGGTATCAGTGGAAGAAAAAGTGCCACATTGTTGGTGTCAGTGAGAGGAATAGCGCCCTACCATTGATACTAGTAGAAGGAATAGTGCCCCATCATTGGTAACAGTGGAAGAAACAGTGCCACATTGTTGGTGTCAGTGAGAGGAACAGCGCCCTACCAATGATACTAGTAGGAGGAATAGTGCCCCATTATTATTGTTTCAGCAGGAGAAACAGTGCTTCATATCAATGGGAGGAAAAGGGCTGGATAAAAAAGCTAGCAAAGGGCTGCATCCGGCCCTCAGGCCACAGTTTGGAGACTACTGATTTAAAACAGCAAAAAAATAAATTTCAATAAAACAAAGCAAAGAAATTCCAAATAAACTTGAGCCCATCAGAGTCCCTCCTTACAACGGGGTCCCATTCAGATTGAACTCTTACAGCAGAATCTTGTAGCGGGCAGAATGTGGCCCACAGACCATAGTTTAGTGACCTCTGATCTACAGAAAAAGCACCTTCACAATAAACTCATCAGGAAAGCAATGCATTTTCTGCGGCTCCACACAGTAGTGTTTCCTTAGAGTTATAAAGCAGAAAAGCATCCTTCCTGAAATAGAACAACCCAATTACTGACAACACTTCCCAGTGGACACATACACCTGACTCAGAAAGTCAGATAAGTACAAGGTGGTAACCCAGAGCAACAAAACAAAATGCATCTTTCATGAATCTAGGAACATCTGAAAGCTGCCATCTACTTGGTTGCTACGTGTTCTTTACACTGTGTTAGTGTTCTAGCAACCTTCTGAAATGGAATAGATTTACAAAAATAACTCAATCCTTTATTTATTGACTGCAAGTCTGTTGGTATAATTTTGATGATTCAAATGTAATTCTGGCTCTTAGAACTGCTGTGTACTATAGAATCCCTGCCAAGACCTCATTTATGTGTCATGGAATATTAGTGGCCATCCTTTCTGTGAACTGGGCACCTTCCTCTTTTAAAGAGAGAATATAGACAGTGTTTACTCCGTACTTACTGGAAATAAATATAGAAATATATTCATTGTATTAATTTTCAGTTGCAGCTGAAGATTAATTTTTGTTTAAGCAACACAAGATGGTTCCCTCTGTGTATACAGGTTTACTTTTAGGGGGAAACAATTTTAAAATCATCTCCAAAGACATGCTGGTAGGGGAATTGGCTCCTGTCTAAATTGTCCCTAGTATGTATATGTATGAATGTGAGTTAGGGACCTTAGACTGTACACCCCTTGAGGGTTAGGGACTGATGTGAATGTACAATATATGTGTAAAGTGCTGTGTAAAAATTGAGGGCGCTATACAAGTACCTGGAATAAATAAATAAATACATTTTAGCAATAACTGCAGTGTGTTCGATCAAAAACATTAAAGTGGTTGTAAACCCCTACGTATATCTAGTGCAGTGACTGACCTCAGGTGATACACAGAGATGAAACAAATCCTACTACATAAGTTGTACCTGTATGTCTACAGTCTTCACTTCTCTACTTCTGTTCAAAGTGCTGAATTTATAAATCTTGCCTAAGGGCTCATGTGCACTGCAGCCCCTAAACTGACATTCAGGAGCTGTTCTGCGATTTTTTCAGCAGCCCCTGAACTCTCCCTAATGTTTTCCTATGTGTCCATGTACTCATAGTTATTTACAGGCAGTTGAGTATACAGTCTTTTTTTGAACACACTAAACTTGCGTTCAGGAATAGATTTTACCGGCGTTTCAAAGCCAAACACTTGTAAACACGTGTAAACGTGGTTAACCGCGTTTATAAGCGTTTGTGTTTAGAAGCGTTTTTTTAACTGTTCCATATCCAGATGCTGTCCAGAGCCTTTTTTCATCATCAGAAATGCATGCAAAGCATTTTCCATGTATTCAAATGGACCTAGCACACCAACGAAAAATGGTAGAACATGTTGCATTATGCTCATGATGGGATCCATATTGAATACAACCAGAAAAGACAGCTAATCTCAACACATACTGATCTCTCTATGTCTGCTCTCTCTATTCCTCTCAAAATGTCTGAAATGGTTAATTTTTTACTACTTTTCAGTGCATTCTGGGCATTTGGGAAGGTCTCCTGAGGTTATCTTTTAAAAACGGTTCTAAACGCAAACGTACATAAATGCGGTATGCAAACACATCTAAACTGACGTTTTTTAACCTATGTTTTCCAGCAGTCAGTTTCCACCGTTCAGAAGAGTTTTCCAAAAGCCTCGTGTACATGAGCCCTAAGAGTTCAGAAAAAAGGAGGCGGAGAGCTGAAATTACACACTACCAAGTTTATTGAGGAGAGCACTGAAAGCCGATTGGAGGGAAGGGACACCTGCTCTCCACACAGCTCACAGGAACAGAGAGACGTCAATCAGCTGGAGGTCCCTCCGCTGTCATTTTTTTCTTGCTGTCAGGAAAACTTGTCAGAAGTGACTCATGC